GAACGTATACCCGTCACCTTTAACCCATATGTAAGATCTATATATGACAAGATCGCCAAGAAGCGCCAAATCAGTATTGCTTACAGGAGGTGCCCTACTATTTTTAACATCCTAAGGAATGGGAAGGACCCTCCTAACCCCAGCAGAAGACCGGGGGTCTATAGTGTCCCTTTGAGAGATAACAGATTCGACAGGGACTTAATATATATAGGCTCTACTAAAAGATCCATAGGTGTCAGAATACAGGAGCATAAGGCAGACATTCGTCACGGGAGAACCAGCACGGCCCTCGCTACATACGCAACAGACCCGGGCATAGTTGCTGACTTTAATAGGGCCAATCTCCTCCTCGGTGCGCCTCCCAATGAACATCTCAAGTGGTTAGAGGCGATGCACATCTTTAAATTATCTATCGAAACCACGTGCATAAATTTTAAAGAGGAGATGATCTTGTCGATGGCCTGGCAAGAGTTGATACATAACACGCTTTAACTGCTCGTTATTTCCGAGCAAGCGGACATGTCACGCATGCGTGACGGATAATTTAAAAGAAATGTTCGATCTTAAGAAAGAAATTATTTAAACAACATTCGTTAATGACTTTCGTTGACGGCAGTCGTTAATTTGAATGGCATGCGCGGCGCATCTTTTAAAAAAAGAACTGTTCGATCGCAAGAACAAAGTTATTTGAAATATCGAATTTACGAGCTAAAATCTAAAGGAACCTGAGGAAGAACCTAGAAGAGGTTCGAAAACGTTTGTTTTTTGTTCGTCGATCATACCACACATTATATTGGTTCAGTGTACGTGTTTGATAGATAAGTGTGGTGACTTATGGATTTCAATGTTAAACCAGTGATATTACGATTTCGTGTATCCCATCTTTAAGGGGATGTAGAAAAAAAACATGTACAATTCTTGTACAATGTTAAAAAATTAACTGTTACTTTGACAGCATAATTTACAACTAAATTTAATGAATGAGAGAGATACACGAAGTACAGAAAAAGCTCTAGAATTTCTTTTCCTTAAATTTACAATTTATGTATCTGTTGTCATAAAAATTTGTCTTTCCACTTTTTTCCAAGACTACAAATATTTAAGTACAAAGTAACCAGTTTCAACTTATTTCTACTTAAGAAGTAGTTAAATAATTAAGCGATTAGGGAATTGGGGACAGAAAACCCTGAAGAGCCAAAATTTGACTTAAACAAAAGCTTAACCAAACCAATCTCTAGCCAAGTACAGTGGGGACTGATTTCTTCATAATATTAGACGTAATAAAGACAGAAATTTTTCCAGTTCAATGAGAGTGACCAAAAAGATGTAAATTTTGGAAATTTCCATGGACACCTGGTCCTAAAACAAATTAGTTAGAAAACAAATGACTATTAAGTTTAACAAATTTAGATTTTTACAACTATGGTGAAAAACGTTTAAAATTTACAACCCTGTCGCGTCCTTTGAGATATACTAGTGATGCAACAAAAGAGGCATTTGACATTAACTGGTATCGGCACCCTTGGGATTTGGCCTGCATGCACACACTACACACCTACCAAGATCGTCTCTGATTCCATCCATGAGCCACTGGTAGGGAGCAATTTTAACTAAGTGAATTGTTTTAATATTTAAAAAGTAAAGAATATTTTATGTTATTTTTATGTACATTTCTTCACAAAACTATATTTAATTATAATTTTCTTTAAAAGTATATTGATACAATTGAGTATTTTGTACCAGGTATGTATAATTGTATATCCATCACACATTTTATTTTAACAAGTAAGTTTTTATAATTTTATTTTTAATTTTAGCCCTTATATTATGGCTAGCAGTTTAGAATGTAATTGTGATATTGAAAATTTATTTTAAAAAGTTTTGGCTTGAGACCATATAATGAAAAAGAAAACATTATTAAAAGAGAAAGACCAATGCCTAAATTAAATATAAATACGTAAACAAAAAAATTTGTTCAACATTTTCACAATAAAATTTTTGAAGACGTAAATGACTTTGTGGATGCACAGAAATGCAAAAATTGTTTTGTTGGCCTTGCCTATTATTTTCAAATGAAATTAGTATGTGGAATAAGAATGGCTTTGACGATTTAAATATTTTGAGTAAAGCTCGCAAAAAGACATGAAAATCATAAATCTCACATCGATTCTTTCGTAAAATTGAAGCAATTTGGAAATCAAAATAGAATAGAATTTAACATTAGTAAACAATATAAAATAAATATTGAAAATTATAACAAAGTTACGGCTAATAGATATATTATATCTAAATTAGTAGATGTTATCAAAGCAAGAATTGGCATTTAGACGGCATAGGGAATCTATTGAATCTAATATCAGAGGTAATTATATTGAATTTGCTTATTTATTAAGTGTGTTAGATAATCTATTAATTAAAAATACATTTAGAGAAATCTACAGTTTTTACTGGCTTATCGAATAAACGAATACGAATGGACCCTAGACCATCGCTGACTCATTGCCCCTGGAAGTCAGCTTCTTACAGAAACACAGCTTTCCTATCATCAAATGTCACGGCACACCACTGATGTATTCATTATTTACAAATATCAATATACAAATATTGTTATATATAAATATATTCAAATTTAGAATTTAGCAGCACTATTTTGAAATAAGTACTGTCACATCCAGATTACAAAAGGTAATATTACTTCAATTAATCAAAATTAGATAAAACAAAATGTTTGGTGAATTATTAAATAAACTAGATTTGGACGCATTAAGAAATGAAAAATGTACTGTATTCTATTTTTAGAAGAGACCTTCTTACTGACCATAATGACTTTTAACTTATACAAAACAGAACTTTTAATTTTATTTATGACTGTATTTTTATTAAGGTCAAATGTAAATATACAATTACAATTAAATTTTATTCTGAAGCCTCTTTTGAGTACTATGCATTGCCTGGCAAAGATTCATGAGACAGATTGTACTGTACTATATTCTGTTGTCTTTGTTATGAAGTACTATTCCAATATTCATGTCAGAAAATGCAGAATCTTGGCTAAACAGGTCTTACTTAACTGAGATCCTACTGTATTATGAATGTCTAATCTTTTAATTTTGAGGCAAATATATTAATAATGTACAAATATCCCCCATACAATATGGCATTGCTATAACACAGTTTCACTCTAACATAGTTTGAACTGGAAAAATTCCCAATACAGCATGATATTATTACAATACAATTTCATTCTAATATGATTTGAGAATTGGAGACATCTTCATATAAAAACATCACAAGTTTTTTGGAGACATTCCTGTACCAAACATTACAAATTTTAAGTGCAAACATCCTCATTCAATATTTCTTTTATTCAAGCAAGCATGCTTATTGTCTCATATTTGCCCATGTATTTTAGAATATTGAAATTTTCAGTTGTTTCATGCCTTTTGCTCAGTTTTCCTTAA